GGAAAACCATCTGGCATTACTCAGGAGAGCTGAAGACAGATATTGCCCTTAGTCTACCTGTCCTGTTTCTAGGCATACCTTAGTGGAATCATATATATTTTCAACCAAATGTACAAAAACATTCATAGGAGCAATGCTGTAAGATAGCCCCATTGGGAAATAGTCTTAATGTCTGCCTATAGTAATAAATAAGAAATATAGAAAATAAATAAGACTCTATTCATAAAATTTAGATGAATGAAATACAACTACGTGCATTAGTGGGGATGAATCTCAAAACAGCATTGAGTGACAAATGCAAATCATGCAATACAAACACTCAGTTTTATGTATATAAAGGAAACCAGGAAAAACTAAATGATATTTTGTCTTAAGATAGATGTATATACTTATAACTCCAAATAAAGAGAATGATTAACATAAAATTCAGGATAATATGCATTTTTTTTGTTCATGGGGCGGAGAGTAGGAGTCAAGAGTGTAAGGCACAAAGGATGCTCCAATGATACAGTGATGTTTTATTTCTTAGATTGGATAGTGGGTACATGCATGTTCATTTCATAATTATTATTTAAATATACATTTGTTACACATAATTTTGTCGTATGTTTCATAAGAGAAACTCCTTAATGTAATGCAAAAATAATATGAACAAAAGTAATAAAATCCTCAGAATACAGTTTGTAAGAAATGAAAAAAACATTTTTAACTGGGAGACCTAAAAAGAAAACATTAAGAAATAAGAATTAATACAATATTACTGGCAGGAGGACTTGTTATAAAAAAGGTGTCATTTGTCCCCCAGAGAAGTGAAGAATGCAAGGGAAATAAAGATTCTGATGGAACATTTTGGAAGTTTTGTAAAATTATTCCAGTATTCTTCTGGAAGAATACATGGGTATTGATAGTCCAGAAAACTTTGCAAAAGAATGATGATATTTGGAAAGGACCTGTTCTACTGAATATTAAAACATGCTATATCAACACAACAGAGAGATACTGTCAGAATAGAAGCTATGACTCAATGAAATACAGCAGAAAGCCAACAACATATGCTAGAATATAAAATAATTTAATGTGATAATAAAATGGCATTTTAAATCACTGGGGAAAGTTTTGACTGGTCAATTTATTGTCCTAAGAATATTGTAAAGAACTCTAGTGAGATTTCCATTTTGTACGGTACATAAAATTGATTCCAGATGGATTAAAGTGTTAGGTTTCAAAAGAAAAAGTTGAAGTCAGAAAATACAGATGACTGTTCATCTGACGTTGCTTAAAAAAGAGAATTTGCTCTGAGCTAGTACGAAAGGAGGAGCCCAGGTGGTGGTCCCATCCCAGCCTGCATCTGATACAGCCTTCTTAGTGAGCAGCGCCAGCACCTCTCTGTTCAGCTCACCTTTCACCTCTTAAAGCTTCTTCAGGTTCCTGACGGAGCTCCTCCTCCAGGACACTTTGGGTAGATGGTTTCACTCTCTCTTCTCAAGAAAGTAGAGCCATTCGAGGACACCTCAACCCCCCTCTCCAGAGCACTTGCACATTTTCTTCCTCTTATCTCACAGAGGGAAGGATGCTCTCTTTCCCTGCCCTGGTATTTTCAGGACCCTACTAATGTCAGTTGTTTCCTCTCTCTTTCCTATCCTACCTCTTAACGTCAATTTTGGATTTTTTCCTGGTTGCCTTTAATCATGCTATAACCTCTCCCTCTTTGGGAGGGGACAGTACTTTAGCTCCATGTCTCATTCCTGCTCCTTCTTGCATTCACCTCCTTCACAGCCAAAACGTTTACTCATCTCAACACAAGTAAACATTTTGTTGTTTGTTTACTCGCCTCGCCTTCCACTCTCTTCTCCACCCATTAAAAGATGACTTATGACACCAGTGTTCTCCCTAAATTACCCTTGCTCAGTTCACAAGTAACCTTGAAGACGCTACATTCAGTGAGCAAACAGAAGGTTGCATCTTACTCGGCATCCACACCTGTCACTGTTAACCAATACCTTTTTGTTCCTCCCTTGGTTGCTTCAGTGACAACCCACCTTCCTGGTTTTCTGTTGCCTCTCTGAACACGGCTTCCCAGTTTCCGAGTTTCTTTGTTTTCCTTGTTAAGTTTGGAGTTCCTCTTGCCTTAGTCCTAGACTTGCTACTTTTGTTCTCCTCTGCGCTCTGGCTACAAGATCTACTCCCTGCCCATGGTTTCAGTGCCTAAACATCGCTACCCACTGCCCCCACCCCACTGCTACAACATTGCCCCCTGGGTGTTCTGCATACTTGTCCAATGAATTATGACAGAACTGAGCTTGCCAGCTTCCTTTCCAAGACTAGGCATCCTCTAAGGCTCCCTTTCTATGAACAACCTCTGATCCACCCCACTGGTATGAAACAGAAGAGCTGGGGTTTTACCTTGACACGTTTCTTTCCTCCATCACCACCAAATCACAGGAGCTCCCCCAAATCTCTGACACAGTCTCATTCTCTTCTACACTACCGTCACCCTGGTCCAAGCTACCATCTTCTCTCCCCAGGATGGCTTTTCTCCTTCCACACTTTCCTCCACAAAGCCATCCACTGCACTCCAACACCCACCCTCCCCAGGATTGTCCTAGTAGCTTCTACTTATCCATCGACCCTAACTTACTTTCTACTCATTATCCTGACTTGCCGGGCTAGATTTTCTCTGCTGGTTATAATTCTTCCAACACCTTATGTGTTTACCTCAAAGTCTTGATAACAACATTAAAAAACTAATTATGAGTGCAATTATTTATTTAATGTAGTCTCCCTTTCCAGAATACAAGCTTTATCAAGGATTTGACTGTATCTTTCTTTGTCCCTGGTGTATCCGTAATGTGTATCACCAAGTCCCTTGGTCATATTAAGTATTCAATAAATATTTGTGGAAAGGATGACGGGATAAGGAAAAGCAATAAGAGATCTGAATACTTAGAAGTTTCTACATACCTAAAAGATTTAAAAAGCAAATGAAGAACTGACCAAAACTATTGTAATCTATGCAAAAAAGCTTAAAAACAGATTATAAATCATAAGACAATGATGAACAGAAATGAAGAGCCATCCAGGAAAATGAGCACAGGGTATAGAGAGCATGTTCATAAAAGAATCAATGCAAATGGCCAATTAAACTGAAAAACAAATCTGTGCTCTCCAGCATTCTAAAAAAGATACAACTACATATGCTTAATCTTTTAAATAGTCGTTGTTGTCATGGATTGGGAATTGGCATATCCTTCTGTTTGGGGAGCCCAGAATTGTGTGAACTTTCTGGAAGGCAATCTGGTAATATATGTCAAAAGCCTTAAAGATAAAATAGTTCATTTACTTTGGCCCAATAAATTAATTTCCAAGAATTTATCTTAGGGACATCAGCAGAGTTGCATTCAAATACGTGTTTGTAAGAATGCTCATTTCAGTGTTATTATAATCATAAAGAATTCAAACCAACTTTAATGCCCAATAATAAAGGATTGGTGACTATAACGGGGCATATCCTGCTCTAAGTAGCCATTAAAATGCATGGCCCCAAAGAACATTTAAGGATTTTTTTAAAACTGTTATCTGTTTAGCGATAAGAGAAGGTCACAACACAATATGCACAGTAGGAGTTTAATTTTTCAAAATAAAATATGTGTATGCGTCGTCATGTGAGGATACTGGAAAAGTACCTCCAGTTACAGGGATTATGAGTGATTTCGTTCTTTTCTTTTTTAAAAAATCTTTTTTTGTAGATTTTTAATATTCAACAAATTCTGTGCATCATGTCCGTAATGAGAAAAACTAAATATATTTTAATTTAACAATAGGGAACTGATTGCAACATATGGCCGTGGCTATATCTAGAGAGGCACAGCATGACGATTAAGAGTATATGCTTTGAAGCTCACAGACAGGTGTTCACTTCCCTCTTTGCAACTTAAGAGCCATATGACCTTGAGCAAGTTATTTAATTCTCTGAGCCTCAGTTCCCTTATCAGCAGAAAGGAGATAATACATACTGGGCAGAGCTGTTTTGTAGCTTAAATGAAATAATGTATGTAGAATTCTGATCACAGAGTAAGCACTTAGTAAAAATACCTGCGTTTATAATGCCAAAATATAAATAGATTCTGTAATGACTTACATGAATTCATGATCCTCTAGGGGGTTATAACGGGAAGTTGGGGGAATCATTATTTTATGGTTCAGCATCTTCCAGACTGTCATAATGATGGTGGAATTCAGCAGGAGGATGCTGGCAGGAAGACTTATCTGGGTACAGAAACTGCCCAGGAAAGGTTTTGCTCATTAGGGCAAAATGCTGGCATAGGTCAATGACTCATCTATTTGTCCAACCAGCAAATGGTTGTTACGCATCTACCATGTGTCAGGCGTTGGAGACTCAGCAGCTAGGCAAATGAGCTGCCCTCTAATTAGACTGAAGTTTCAAGGCACATAGTTCCTGGTAGATTCAGGGATTAGGAAACTATGGAAGCACTTCCTGTAGCTGGACAAAGCTTGACAGGTTTGGGAAAATGATAGTGACGTTCACGTTGCATTCCTCAAATACCAATCCTAAGGCAAGAGTCTAATTCCAGAATCCTGCTGCTGGCAGGGCTGGGACCTACAGATGTCCTCTTTACCCTGGTCAGTTTTAGTTCCAGAGAAACTTGCTCAGAGCCTGCAGATGAAAAGCCATCGGTCTTCCAGAGAATTGGTTAGCCAACTATGGCCCATGGGTCAACTCGAGCCCTTGCCTGTTTCTAGAAATAAAGTTTTTTTGGAACACAGACATGCCCATTTATTTATGGATTGTCTATGGATGTTTTTATGCTACAGGTGCCGAAGCTGAGTAGTTATAACAGGGACTGTATGGCCCACAAAGCCTAAAATATTTATTATCTGACCGTTTACAGGATAATTTTGCTGACTCCTGTTCTAGGTCAATGAGGCTGGCGAAATGAGATGGAAGGTGACATCAAGTTCCTAATTTTTTCCTTCTGTAGTTCCAGGAGCTGTTCCTCTAGAGTCCATCCAAGGGGGTCCCTTTGAGGAGAAGATCTACATCCAGTGGAAACCTCCCAATGAGACCAACGGGGTCATCACACTCTACGAGGTAAGGAGGCCCCTGTGACTGTATCACTTGGCTTGGCTTTATTCAGTTTACTTCAGCCTGACGTTGGCAAATACCTACTGTGTGCAGAGCTCCATCAAGGGCACAAAGGTGAGTGAGACACAACTTACTGGAAGGTTTCTGATAATACAGTGGGAAAAAAACACAGGGGCATCAATCGAGCTGCCTTGATAGCCCTAGTGACGAAGAAAATTGGGCATTGAAAGGATTATTGATCTCTTCAGCAAAGGCATTAGGACTCCAGGAGTCAGATAGTCCTGGCACAGCTGAGCAGACCCAGGCCTGGCAAACAGTACTTGCAGTTCCTCTGGAAAATCACAACACTCACATGATTCCCATGGTACCCATATCAGTCCCTGGGCTTCTAGAATGGTCCCAATGTCATTCTCTGACTGGGGGTACATGATTCTTGAGCTTTAACGTTGCTCTGTGGTTAAGGCACATGGTGATGCCTTGCTCACAGAGCCAAGGTGATGGTGTTGAAAGCCCTTCTCCCAGGATTAGCGGGGTCTTATATCAGAGATGGAGCAGAATGTCCTTGGACAAGAATGCTCCCATCAAGCCAACACAATGTGGCTTCACTGAAAACTTTCAAAATTAGAATAAATGGTATAGAAGCTCATTGCAGAGCAAAAGCAAACAGTAAAACTTCAATAAGGCTGATATAGCTAAATGCTAATATTGGGATATGGGCGAGATTGACTTTCTTCCCACCCCTTGTGTTCTGAGACACCACAAGGTTGTTGATACAGATTATAATAAGAAAACGCAGCAATGCGGAGAAAGGGCATGGAAACTGAAGCTGGAAGGATAGAGTCTGGTATCCTAGTAGTCCTACCACCATCTCAAGTGACCTTTAGCAGGTTCTTCCTCTCTTCAAGCCTCAGTTTTCTCATCTGTAAGATGGGGGAGGTTAATCGTTGCTTCAGGGTTTCTCTAGGGAGTCTGAGAGGGGAAAGGTGATAAGCATCCCAGGCTGAAATACACTGTTGGCTCATGGAGGGACTAATGACTCTCAGTGCTTATGCAGAAAGGTACACCTGTTGAGAGAGAGCTTGGGGAATATATCGCCGCCATAAGGGAGGATGAGCTCTGGGGAGGAAAGTCAAGGAGTATTGATGAGGGAGAAATATTCAGGGTAAATCTGATGGACACAAATTCGCTAGAGAGACCTGGACGGACCTCAGGGCTGAGGGAAGAGAAAACTGTCTTATCATGTACAGGGTGCTAGAGAAAACACCTTCAGGAAACACCTTATCTCACTCCATCCAGCGTTCCTCAGAGGCAGAGCTGTCTAACATCTCCATCTTGGAACATGGGCTTGGGAGAAGCATCCTTCCCAGGGATGCTGCTAAAGGAGAGGAGGTACTCATACTGATAGACCTTGCCTGCAACACATTCAAAACCTTATTAGGGAAGAGAGGGACTGGAAACTCAACTGAAACAAAACCCAGTCATTTAAAAGCTACACACTGTTCTTTGTAAAGCACAGGCTGCGATCATACACAGTCACATACACACTCACATACACACAGATGAGATAGACATCTACCCACCTGCCCTTTGTAAAGCAGAGGGAAAGGACCCAGGACTTAAGGTGTTAAGTTGCTTGGTGTTGTTATATAAATGGCTCTCAATGCCAGATGTTGAAGACTTTTGGAATTCACAGGCCAGTAACATTTCAAATGGTTTGGGGGAACCAACATAGAGTACTTTACCATCTTTTATTAACATTGTTTCATAAAAGACAATTTCAAAAATATAGAAAGGACATAATCTCAGAATAAAAGGCAGTCCTTTAAATCGAATAAATTTAGCTTTATGGGTAACTCATGACATTCTCCTTATTTTTTCCTCATTTTGCCTTGAATTGAGGACAGCTCTGGCTTGAAAAGACCCTGCCTTTGGAAACCACAGGCCTAGGCCACGTTTCAGGTAGAGTCATATCTCTGCACAGATTTCTTCCACAGGAGCAGTATCCCTCTTTCTGTAACAGGATTATGCACTGCGCTGGGCTAGGAAACCCTTGATTGTGATTCCACGGTAAGAAGAAGGAAATAGATGGAGAGAGAGCAAGAGTGCAGACATAGCTGTGAATTAGACACACTGAGCACTAGCTCCCTGAAGGGGCTGCTGAACTCACGTTTGGCTACTTGCTGCTCGAAAGCCAATACTTGAGAGACAGACGTTGGTTGGAAAGGACAGTTTGCTTTATTCAGGAGGCTAGCAACCTGGGGAGAAGGCAGACTCATGTCCAAAAGCCAACTCCCCACTGCCAATCAGAGGGCAAGAGCTTTTAAAGGGGGAGTGTCAGGGATGTATGGGTGGAGGGAGGGGGTTAAGTGCAGCAAGGCACAGTGAGCTCTGACAGTCATCTTGGAGTTGGTCATAGGGTGATCTGATCAGCATCATAGTGATTGTTTCAAGTACAATTAATCTTCAGTTCCCGCTTCAGTTTGTTCCCACTTCCTTGAAGCTAGTTCTCGGAATTGTGTCAGATGGAGCAGCTTATGTCATGGCTACAGTCTGGTCATCGTGTAGTTAACTTCTTCCACCTGGTGAGAAACACAGAACATGTGTTTATGAGCTCAAAGAATGTGGCTCAGAATATTATCTGTAGCCCTTGAGGAAGAACTAAAGGTCTTTGACTTTGCTTAATGGCTAAACTGTTATTACTTTGTTTTATTTGACTGCTCTCGTTTGTTTCTGCATTTCCTCACTCTAAATTTATTCTTTGGCTGAAGTTTTTCTACAGACAAGAGGCAGGCGGAGGACATGGCGGGTGGTTCTGTCCTGAGAAGGCCCCATAGGGTCCTGCTCTGTTCCAAAGGCGGACTCATAGATGGTACGCTGTCTGGAACTCTAGGCACAAAGGTGCACACAGATTAGGACAACGCACCTTTCTTCTCACTTCTCTGTGAACCCAGTGCCTTGTGGATATTCAAAGACCAGTTGCTGGGATATTGGCATTCCCATGAGGGACTCTACTGGAAACAGCTGTGGTGAGACGCCTTCAGGTAGTTTCTTGGCTGCTCCTTAGGCTGTAATACAGAGAACCAGAGCTAGAAGACGGCCGCTGTCTGACTTGTTTGAGCATTTGAGGTTACCTTTTGGGAATATGCCAAACTTCTGGGTTGACGCTGTGAAGGGACCTAAGGAGGTCATGGGCTTAGGCCTTATATTTTGACCATAAACATGGCTGTGACCATGTGTGTCACAAACCAGTGAGGCCTCAGAAGGTAAGAATGTTGACTTTTGAGGTCAGGCAGCCTAGATGTGAATCCCAGCTCTGCCACTTCCTTGCTGTATAACCTTGGGTACATTAAGAAACTGCTCATTTATATTTATTAATAAACATAAATATATGTTTAGTATTGTGTTTGGCATTTAGAAATAGCACTGAAAAATATTAACTCTTGCCATTACATAAAAATGAGGCCACTGAGACTTGGAGAGGTGAAATGTAAGGACCAAGGTTATGCAACTCATGGGTCCTGAATTCAAGTGCAGGTGTCTCGCCCCTTATCCAATGTGGTCCATGGACCAGCAGCATTGGCTTTACCTGGGAGCTGGTTAGAAATACAGCATCTCAGACCCCACCAGACTCCCTGAATCAGAGTCTTCATTTTACCAAGATCCCTGGGTGATTCACATGGGCATTAAAGTTTGAGAAGCACGGCTCTAGACTGCACTATTCTTCAGAAAGTTTCAGCAGGATGGGGAGTCTCCCCCACGCTGGGCTCGACCCAGTCCTGCCTCAGATAGTGAGCAGGAGACCTTGCTTTTAAAGACATTTATAACAGAACATGTGTTTATGAGGCAATTTCCAAATTTAATTAGATGAAACCAATTTGATTTTTTAAATTAGGTTCTGGTTATAATTTCTAGAGAGAAATCCATAAACCACAAATCACCCTGTTCTGATCTCAGAAAGTACATTTTGTGGCAAGGAAAAATCAGACAACACAAATGGAAGAGGAATCCAGGATTGTCTGTGCCTTCCTGTGTACAACCTTGGACTCAGCAAAGTCAAAAGCCAAAAAGAGGAGGGAGTGAAGAAGAGTTATAACTTTGTAAATATTGTAAAAATTGTTAAATACAGCAGGTCTAAGTGTTATGTCATATGTTAAGATTAAATTCCCTTCCCCGTGGGTCCAAGTCATAACCTGTGGGCCCACCCTTGGACAGTTCTGCCCTCCAAAATCGGAATGGCTTTGATTATGTTCCATTCAGTCTCTGGGCTTCAGTCCCCTCATTGTAATATGAAGGTGTCAAACTGTTCCAGGCTTCTACTGGGTAAAATTCAAAGGAAAAGTAAATCCACGCCAATCCCACACAACCAAAGTTTTACACCTCATTTTGGATTTGCTCTGCTGTTGAAACCTTGCCTGTGGCCAGAGACTTCAAAGGCAAAGCAGTGATGACACTTGAAGGAAAACAACTAGTGTAAAGGCCCTGCAGGAGGAATGACTCTGGCCTGTTTTACAAGTAGGAAGGAGGTCAGAGTGACTGAAGCCTCGTGAGCATGGACGATAGTGATGAGGCCATGTGGAGAGTGGGTGGGCAGAGTCAGGTTACGCAAGGCTTCTAGAGTTTGCGCTTTCTCCTGAGAGGAACAGAACACCCTAGGAGGATTTGAAGCAGAGGAGTGAAGGAATCATATTTGCATTCTTAAAAAAATCACCTGGCTGTTGTGTGGCTAGTGGCTGTGAGCACATAAGCATCTCAGGGACACCTGGAAAATGTGCCAGGAGGCAAGGACATTTAACTCATCTATGATACTGCAATGAGAGCTCAACTATTTGTTGGAAGCCCTTGCATCCAGGTGGAAGAGGTGAAAACTTTGTCACATCTGCTTTTTCCTTGCTGCCTCTTTCTGGACTTTGACGTCTTCCTTTCAGTCAGGAGTTCTCATCTTGAAGAGCTCCCTGGAACCGTGGACTTAGATTCTGGCCTCCTATCCCTAAGGGCTGGGAGTCTAG